TAATTTGAGTCTAGCACTTTATGTGAATTAATTGATGCTTTTCTCAAATAACACACAATATCACCAAGTGATATTTAGCTTGCAATTATTTCTATTCTTTTGATTGTGATTATAAAATATGGGGATGATTATGGCATTAGACCTTAGAAGATTAGGTCATGGATGATTAAATTTATTTCTCTTGGTATTTATTTTAAAATAGGATCTACGTACCCTGCCTTTTCTCTATTTTTTTTGGTTGTAAAATTCTGTTCTCACCTAACTTCCCTCAGATGTAACTTGAGGTCTCTTGATTATAGAATATAATTAGTTACATCAAAATATAAAACAAGGGTTAGATAGAAAAATTTTTGTAACTTAAAGATGGACATTCGAAGGCACCATGGAGATTCAAAGAGATAACAAGCAAAGCTTAAAGACAATGTTTGTGTAAATCTCCTAGGAATTTGAACAACTAATTTCCTTAATGGCTAAAGGAAATTAGTATTAGTAAAGTCTATAATCAACCCAGTAGTTGGCATGAGATAGATTTATTTTTCAATATATATATATATGATATATGTGAAATGCGATAAATACTATGCATATCAACAATGTCAAATCAATGAGCCCTTTATTGATGAATTAATAAATAAAAATCTCTCATTTATGGGAGCTATACATGATAGAAATAATGGGAGCTAATGACACTTTAAAGGTTAAAGGTTTTGAAATTATGAAATCCAAAAGATAGGATCTATGCACAAAGATTGATTTAATGGGATGCATAGGATGCATAATTCATGAGATGAATCCATTAAATACAAACCATTAGTAGAATACATATTGATACACTACTTCATATAAGATGAGTCTACTAAATAATCCAACATGAATGATTAGATAATAATCTCTATTAAATATAATAAATTCAAAATAGTTGAATAAATTAAATAAGATAAACATATTTTGTGCATATCATACAATTAGTGGGAGTAAGATAAGTTACTCATTAAAAGTGTATAAGATACATTTGTCAGTCAAAGAAAAACAAAATGGGACTAAAGGGTTAAAACCTAAAAAGGGACTCAACAAAAGAATTTAAAATGACATGTTAAAGGAGTTTAATATAGAAAGAATCCTAAATGTTAAAAGTGACATAAAGTCATGATTGAGTAGTTGTATTAAAATGGTTCCAAAACAAGAGATAACCACATGATTATATCTGTAATCGAGTACAAATCTTTTATTTAGGCTACAAAAGAAGAGATATTTAGATCATTGGTTTAATGAATCAATAAATAATTATGAGTTGTTAAGGTAACAATAAGAGCCAAAATAATGGAATCAAGTTCTTGTTGTGATCTAAATTGGCATTTCAATTATGACAATGGAGATTGTCAAACATATTAACAAATTCTCAAATATTGCACTTTGAGTTGTCCTAATAGAGACATAATTGCTGAGCAAAAAAGTTTGATATTGGATATGTTAACAATTGACTCATGTACAAGTGAGAGATTGTTAGTATATGCCTATGAGCAAATTGAATTAGTTAAGGAATATATATTGTCATTTAACGCATACTTAATCGCATAATTATATTTGATATAAGTTTTTCTTCATGTTAGTGGAATAATAAGGATTAATTAAGTACTAATTGGATGAAGCCCATGGAACATAAAGGTCTTTCAAGAAAATTGTAAAGTTATTACAATTATGAGATCATTATGCATCAAAGCCATGCTCCTAAAATTGTTCTTGGTCATTGTATTATCAAGACAAGGCATTGACAATGCTTAAAGATTGGTACATGTTAAGCCTTCTTACTTGGAAAGTAAGCAATCGATCTCATAGATTGAATTGTAAAGATAACATGTAAGTGCTTGTTAAAGAACAAGTTCGTTGAACATGACCTACTATGAGAACTCCATTTGGTATTTCACTCAAGTGTTTGTAGAATATGTTTCCATGTGATAGTCGTGCAACGAGTCTTTGAACTTGAGACACCAAGTCATCTTGTATAGGGAATGACATACTTCGATTCATCCCTACGAGTCTAGAGGTGACCAGATGCTTAAACATAGAGTTTTTAGGTATGCCATAAAGCATGCGAAGGTGAATGAGTGGTCAAGAGAGGATTCATCACCCCAAGTGATATGAGGGGATGTATCTCATTAATTCTCAATTCTTGATTAACTTGTATAAAGTTTTTTGGCAAAGCATGATGAATTTGAGGAAAGTTAGTTTTCTAAATTTATAAGGTTAGTTATGAATTATGAGAACTACTATGGAATGTTATAAGTAGACACTGACCCATGCTTTATAATATATCTGGGATATTTGATGAAAGGATCATATTGCGCTTAGAGGCTTATCATTGAAGGGTATTATCAAATTCTTTAATTCACTCTTTAACATTTGGGTGGTAATGATATATTGCTAGATGCCGCTCAATATCTATAGATATAAATCAATTATCAAATTGATATTTGATTAGAATTTATATTTATTGTCAATATGTTAAAAGCTTAATGGGTCACACACATTAAGTGACACGATTGAGATTAAATAAGGATAATCAATTAAGTTGGACTTAATTGAAATAGATCAAAATAAAGTGAAAAATTAATTAAGTTCACAAAGACTTAATTGAATTAAAATACAATTATTGTATCTAAGGTTACAACTTAATTTGACTATATAAATATGTTATGTTCGCAAAATAAAACTCAAAAAAAAAATCCTTTAGCCACTTCTCAGTCGTTTCATAAAATAAGAAAAGAAAAATAGTTTTTTTGGTTTAACAAAAATAAGATTCAGTCAGAATTTTTAGTTTTCTTTTTGTTTGGAAAACAAAACTTACTAACACAAGTAAAATCCTGCCTTTAAAAAGATCTTATTCGGTCACTGTGTGGATTACTATTAGAAGCCAAACACTTGGGTGGTTGAAAATTTGACAAATCCTAAAAGTGAAAAAGTAAAGATTTTAGTTGTAAGATTTTAGACCATTTTATTTTCTTTTCGAGGTTTCTTGCTTCATCACAAGTGTTTTTTTATTTAATTAGCTCTTAATTACGATATCTAAAGTAAAATATGTAACTCTTAAACTTATGAATATTTATAATTAATTTAAAAATTACATGAAAAACATAAATATTGATCCTACAAGATTCTACTGGTTCTTTGATTAAATATTAATTTATTATTTCACTGCGTTATATTTTTAATTTTTTGATTATTTTATATTTGAGTATGAAACCGAATCTTAGCAATTTCTTACTCGGATCCGACAGCCTCCAGTCGCTTTTGAAGTTCTTGGCCTACAACATCATTTTCAACTTGTTTAGCAGCCTTAACAAAAGCAACACTTGTAAGCTTAGGTTGGTCGGCGAAATTCATCGAGCCCACTGTGGGATTAGTAGGGGGTTCTGGGTAATTTGGGTTGCTATTGTACTTTCCCTTCTTCATTCTTGCTTTTTTTTATTCTTTACATTATCCAAATAAGAAAAGGATGAGAGTCTCTCAATAATAAAAGTTGCATCAGATTATAGCTATAGACATCGTATTTTGTTCAAAATAATTAAAGGCTAATAATATTTCTCCTCCTTTTCCAGCATATTGTTTTATTTGTAAATAATTTTGCTTTTATTTGGTGTTTATATTTAATCTTGAAGTTTAAATTCATATTAATTGCTTAATGTTGTGTATGACAAGTAAAACTCTAGATAGTAAATGCCGATAAAACTTAGAATAATGTTAGATACAATTTCGTTTCAACGTCTCCACCATCATAATTTCTCAATTTTGGAATTAAGAGAAAAAACTTTAGGCCAAAAATTTAGAAAGAAAAAGAAAAGAAAGAAATTTGAAATAGAGAAATAAACAATGATAAAATACCTTGACTTTTTTAAGTTTTAATCGAAATTACACAGAAGTTCGTTAGTTTTCGAAATAGACACTCAACCCCAAAAGTACTTAATAAAAGCAATGAAAAGATTAAAATATATTTTTTAATTAATTTATAAAATTATTATTATATCTTTTTAAAAAATAAAAAAATAGAGAGCACCAATCAACTCCCTTTGAAGGGAGAGCACTGGCCGAGGGAAGCACCAGATCAGTGCTCTCCAAAGGAGAGGGCGTGATCTTCCTCCCTAAAGAGAGCAATGGTGCTCCCTTAAAAGTCCCGATCAAGGCTCCCCAGGGGAGCTCCAGTGTTCCATAATGATTCTTTTAATTAGTAAAAAAATAATATAATTATATAATTATAATTATAAAAATTAATAAAAATAAAATTATCTTCTCACCCTTTATCTCGTCACTTAATTGATGAAAATATTAACGGTTAACTAACTGTTGAGTCTATGTATCCAGTGAAAAATAATTTTTTGAAATAGGATGTTTATTTCAAAAATTAATAAATTTTTATATAATTTCAATTAAAATTTAAAAAAATCAAGATATTTTACCCAATAAATGATAAAAGGATTAAAATTAAGTTAATAAATAGCACAGTTGCTTATTCATGGGGAGTGAGAGGTTATTCGCCAAAACTAATGTAAGATAAAGTGTATTTTTCCCCAAATATGAGGGTTTTTTTTTTTTTGTTTTATATTCCCTTAAACTATGATTGACACATTCAAAGTTAGAATGCATTCGCCAATCGACAACTGAAGCAAATGGCTGGCATTAGGTAGAGAGGAAGATCTTGTTAAGCATGGAATGTCACTCTTCCATACTCTGCAGCAAACTGCGTGGCCTTCAGGAAGTTCAGATTCTCAATCTAACTTGTTAGGCAGACAAACAAACAACGAATGGAATATAATGGTACTCAGTACAGTACCATGTACTCATAATTTTCAGGAACTGTTATAAACCAAGCTAGAGGAATAACAAAAGAAGCATACTTGAGATGAGGAAGCATGTATAAAATCTCACAGGATTATCTCATCACACATTAAAACCTGAGAACTAGAACAAGAGAAGGACACTTGAATTAACTAGATTCACATGACGAATTTTGTGAGTTACCAAATCTATTGGTAGAAAAGGTTTTACTAATCAAAAGAATCATTTCCCTGTGTACATAATACTAGCTGGTTCAGTACAATTCGTGCCTGACATATTCAAGAAACAAAACAGCAAAATTGAGAATCAACAAATAGCAATTCTAGAATAGAAGGAAAAAAATGAAAACTGGTGATACAACCATCAAGCTTTGCTCTGGAAGTTATACTCATGAATAATGTAATCCAAAAGTCTTGGTGAAATATAGCAAGCCACTATGAACAATCAGTAAAACGTGTATTCTTGTTACTTGATTGCTGAGAGAACAGCACCAGCACTTATCTATACTCCAAAATTGCACATCTGCACAAACTCCATATCGTTATCCACATATTTAGTCCAGAGATTCTTGTATTGGTTCATAGCAATATCTAGCCAAGGTTTCATGTTTCCATTATAATGAATGACTGCAGCATTATTGATCTCATCCATGCTAATGCTTGGATTGTATCCAAGCCCAAGCACGTGCCAGGATTTGTCCAGTGATTTTGTCAATGAGTAGAAGGTCATCAGGCCAGGTGGAAGAGTACCTAATTTCCACAGAGTCCGATCCTCATTCTGATCACAAGATTAAATGAACGTTAATTAGACATCCCATTCTTGCACTTCAACCCATAATTCTCACAAGCAAATGAAGTGCTGTATTTGGAGTTAGTTAATAAGTTTCACTCCTAAAAGTTGCATTTTTTGATAATTATTTTTATTTTCAATCCAAAACCCCCTAATACTAACAGAACTAAGGACTCGTTTTGATTTCTGGTGGGTTGTTTCATTTTGCAGGTAAAAACATCATTTGTTTTTCTCAATAAATACTAGAAAATACTCTCTAGGAAACCAGGCATCGTGCTTACAAACCATTACCCCCATTAACATCAAACATCACTAAATTCACTTGAAAGCAAATAATTCACTTACCAAGTTCTGCCAGTTGTGATATGTTTCTGTACATTTCTCACGCCTCCAGGCATCAAGATCAAAAATATTCATCCCGTAAGCCCAAGCGCAAGCCTTAGGGTTAAACCTCTCCTTAATGAGAGGATGTGAAAAGTTCAAATACTGAGAGAAACGGTGAAAAGAACCAAAGCAGGTCTCAACAGCCCCATTCACCTTTCCGCCCAAATCTATCTTCCACAACCCTGTCAAGTCCTTCTGAACCACAACATCATCATCTAAGAACAAAATCTTATGCAATTTTGGGTACATCTCAGGCAAATAAAACCTAAGGTGATTCAACATTGGCATATACTTAGGATTCCTAAACTTTATGTTACTTCCTTCTTTGGTTGCATTCTCCATCTGCACATTAGAAGACTCGATCTGCCCCACCACAGGCACATACGAGGAACTCAAGAAATCATAATCTTCCACTGCCTTCACCTCCACATGAGCACCCCCTTCCACAGGCCTCATTCTGAACCAAACTTTCATTGCAGCCACATTCATTCTATCTGTCACCACATGGAATACATGTTTTGAAGGCTCCTCAGCATTCTTCACCACAGATCTAACCACCACAGAAACCGCAATTACATTATCTGTAAATATAGCATAATGATACAAACTAGGATCCTCAAACTCAGCCTTAGGCCAGTCTTCCTTATACTTCTCCGGATGTGAAATCCTCTCCTCCACAAGCCTCATTGCCAAGCAATGCAAACTCTTAGGAATCGATTTAGCAGCAATCAAGCTTGCAAAGGCTCCATTCTTTTTTGCCTTACCTAACAATTCATTAACTGCAAAAATAGTATCTTTCAACTTCTGAATTTTCAACTGATTATCATAATTCTCTTTAGATTCAGCTATCAACAACCTAGCAAATTTCACTCTATCTTTCACTTCTTTCTCAAACTGCCTCAAAACATCCTCATCTAAATTACCACTGGTTTCAAACAAAGAGGATTTATAACTTGGTTTTGAAGTAAGATCTGAGAAATTCTTCGCCAAATCATCAAACATTTTCAATTGTCTTGAAATTTCAAGCTTTAGCTTCCTTGCATAAGCTGCATAGGCTTTCACTAGTGTTATGTGATCATTGGCTTGCTTGTGTATCAAATCTAACCTTGTTTTGAGAGGGTCTGAGTTCAATGCCAGAAATGTTCTGTGCATGTAAGCATTTCCACCACTGGGAAGCCTCTGCTCAAAAACCCAAGAAAAGAAAAACAGTTAGAATAATTAAATGCGCATCTAAAAAATTACAAAGATTGAATTTTTAAGTATAGAAAGCTCTGCTCGAAATGCTATAAGGAAGACCCATATGAAGATTAGATTTTGAAGTTTTAAAAGCTCAGCCCAAAAAAAAACCAGAAAAAACCCATTTAGAGAACGCCAAAGGGTATCTAGAAAAGCCAGAACGATTTGGATTCTCAAGCATTGAAAGTGAAGAGCTGAGTTAGGGAAATAAAAGGGCCTGATTCCAGGAAAAAGGAAAATATATATAAAATTAAAAAAATGAAAACCCAGTTAGAGAATCGAAAAGGGTGTCTGAAAAAGCCAAAAAGAACTTGGATTTTGAAGAAATGAAAGGTGAAGAAAATTGAATAAAGAGTAATGAAGAGGGTATATTTACAGAGTGGTGATGAGTTGTAGAAGGATGAGAAGTGAAGAGAACGGAGAGAGTGGCCACGAAGAGAAGCGAAAACATGGCTGAGACAAAGATCCTATAAGAAAACAAGCTACGGAAACCAGCTCCACCTCCGCCTGATCCGCCACCTCGAGTTCCCCTGACAGCCACAGCCATTGGATTCAGCTATCTCCACTTCTGTGTTTCTGTCTGTCTCTTGAGCTGATTAGAGAAACGGAAATGTGTTTTAAGTGAAGTAAAACATAAACTAATGAGATCTGAGATTTGACAATGAAAGGGTTTGAAGATCTGAATTCCGTGTCGGTGTTGTTAATTTTATTGATTTTTTTTAAAAATTTTTATAGAGGGAGTGAACAATGGAATAAACGAATTTGAGGAAAGTCTAGAGTGGCGTGGTGTAGGGATTGTTCGTTGAGATGGTTAGATATTGTCGGGCTGACTGACTGTCAAGGGGGAGAGAGATTATGGCCTATGGGCCGTAGTATCTATTATGACTAGTACCATTTTTGCAATCTTCTAACCCAAGCGTCCTAGATTTTGAGGTTAAGTTGCCTACATAAAGCCAATTTGATTGCAAACATAATATCAAATAAGATATAGTTGAAATTGATTTTTGAGGCAAAATTGTAAAAATGTAATGATCTAGTTTGATCTTTTTGGATATATTTCTTTTATGTTAGTTTTTCTTTTATTTTGAAGATGAGATATTTAAGTCTTACATTTTAAGCAATGATTATGCATCAATTACTAAATCAAATATATAGTTATGTAATAGGTTAGTTTGATTATAATGTTAAATTTTGAAAAATTTAATGATAAACAAAAGCTTTAAAAGCTCTAGAATTGTTTAATTGAGGGTATTTTTCTTATCCGTTAAAAAGGTTTCTTGTAACTTGTTTGAGTTAGCCCAAGTTAAAGCCTAAGCTAATGACAATGCTCGACTGTAAAGCAAACCCAAGGAGCTAGTCAACTTAATTGTTATAGAGCTCGCATTTGTAAAAGATGAGGTAAGATTTGAATTTATAAATAAGAACTTATTTTCATTCAACAAAAATGTCTTTTAGAATGAAAATGTTACGTCGTGACATAAACAAGTAGCCAAATCCATGATTGGATTTATTTCTTTGTTCCATAGGTATAGTTTTCATCATGGTTTTTTTATGCTTTTCTTGACTTAAATTCATAGCTCTCTCTTCGGCTTGATAAAGGGTAAAAAAAGATAATGATAATGGTACAAAATTTTCTCATTAACAAAACCAAACATCTATAATTCGAACATACTATAGTAGAAAATGCCTTTTGACCATGGACATCTTTTTTTTATTTTATCTGCTATTAGAATTCATGCCTCGTATAATTCTTTTTTCTCTGAACTTTATGCTAACTTGTTAATTATTGGTTTTCTATAATTGTGTATTCATATCTATTTCAATGTCATTGATTTGATTGTTTTTGTAATTTGTATTTATGTTCTTCTAAAAAAATATTTATTTTTGTATTTTATTTCACTACGTACATTAATTTCTTAAATTATTTCTTAATTCTTAGGAAAAGCTTAGAAGACGAAGAGAAATATAGAACTTAACTACACATTTGATATTCAAAGTATAGCAGAAGTGTCAATTTGGAACTTGAAGTTTAGAAATTTACTGTTAGAAACTCTAATTTTATTTCCATTAAATAGTTTGTACCTTTAAGTGACCCTGTTAAATCAAATAGCTGACATAAAAAAAAAGAAAAAAAAAGCCAATAAGTGTACCATTGGTCTAAAGAATGTTACATTTGTTATGAATATATGTGAATATTCATTATTTTATGATCCAAGAAGTTCAGATCAAATCAAACAGCATAACATGCCAGATACAAGATGTGCTCTTTTATTTGAACCCTTAAATTCAATTAGATTAAAGTTTGGATTCAAAGAGTTGTTAATCTATAAATAGGCTCTCATTGCTTTTGTAAAGATATATTGGAATAAGATCTTCTTATTCTCTCTACATACTTTCTCTCATTGTTGTTTTTTCAAATTATATTTCATAACATATTATCAGCACGATTTTCTAATCTTTCAAAATTTGGTGTTATTTAGTTTCCATCATCTCCAAACTTCAAAAGGATTTCAATGGTTGATTTTTTATTTTTGGTTTTACCGAATCAAATAAATGACTTGATATTTCTTTGATGTTTTCATCCTTAAAAATTAACTTAAATGTAAATTTGCTATTATATAACTATTAATAAAAAAACATGTACTCCATCCATTCCTTGAAGGAAAAATAATATTATTTAATAATTATGGTCATGGACTTGAAAAATGTCGCCATAATAATTGCAATCATGGTGATTACGCTAATCACTATTATAATTCTAAGAATATATTTATTCATTAGAAATAGATGGACAATTTTAACCTGTCAAGAGTGGATAGATAGTTTTAACCCACCAAAAGTGGATGGATACTTTTTAACCCACAAGAAATGGACAAATACTTTTTAACCTAACTAGAAGTGGATGAATACTTTTTAATCTACTAAAAATTGACAAACACTTTTAAACGTTGATGAATAGTGAAGAGATACAATAAAAAAGATAAAATAGATAGAATAAAAGAAATAGAGAAAATGTCTTGTCATCAGTGTGGCATGAATAGTCATTGGTCACGTACTTATTGTACGTTAAAACATCTTGTTGAACTTTATCAAGTATCTTGTACGTTAAAACATCTTGTTGAACTTTATCAAGTATCACTGCATGCTAAAAAGAAATAAATGTTAAACTTTATCAAGTTTCATTAAATGCTAAAAGAAAAAAATATCGAAGTAAATTTTGTCCAAGATAATTTTAACCATGACCAAGTTGATATAATACATCAAGATGTTGTAGATTTTCTTGCCCATCCTAAAAGAAGAGTTGATCATTTGATTGGTAATGAAAATATCTAAGAATGAAATTTCTTAATAGTTTGTTGGTATGTTTTAGTATAACTTTCCCATAAAGATATTTTTATATGTTCTCATTATATTTACATGATATGCGTTTATTATGTGTTTTAATTAGTAAATTATATATTTATTGTTTTCTTATGTCAACTTGTATGTTTCTTATTATGTATCTTATTTTATTGAAGAAAAATAATGATATTCATCTTGTCAGATTCAATATCGTTGATGTAAATATATGTTTAGCAGACATTGTTACAATACACACTCTATTTAAAGATAAGAAATATTTTTCTCACTTGACAATAGAAGAAATCAATATCAATACAATATTTGCTAGTATCAGATTAATTGAAGGATCTAGAACAGCTAATCTTTTATTTCCCAAAAGAGCAAAGTTCATAATAGAGAATGCATTATTTTCTACTAAGCCTTAAAGAAATTTATTAAATTTTAAAAATATTTTCTTAATGGATATCATATTGAGGCAATAAATGAAAGAGACACTGAATACTTTTATATTACATCTATTGTCTCGGGTGAAAAGTATATATTGAAAAAATTACTCATTTTGTCCTCTAGAATATATTATACAAAAATTAGAATGATTGAAACTCATGCTATAGTAAACTAGAAATTTATTCATGATTTTAATGTTTAGCATGACTAGTTGAGCTATTTCGAATCAATAATGATGCGAAAAATTATTGAAAATACATGTAGTTATCTATTGAAAAATCAAAAAGGTTTTTCAATCTAATGAATTCTCATGTACTGCTTACTCTGAAGACAAATTAATTATAAAGTCATCACTAGCTAAAGGTGGGACTGAATCTCTTACATTTTTAAAACATATTTAGGGGGATATATGTAGATTCATACATCCACCATGTGGACCATTTAGATAATTTACAATTTTAATTGATGCATCGACTAAATGGTCACATTTGTGCTTATATCAACTTGCAATTTGGCATTTGTAATCATTCGTTTACAAGCACATTTTCCTGATTATGCAATCAAGATTATTTGTCTTTACAATATTAGTGCATTTACATCTCAAACCTTTAATAAATATTATATATTAATTGAAACAATTATTGAACTGCCTATTGCTCATGTTTATATACAAAACGGTCCATAAGAGTTGTTTATTAAACATTTTCAATTAATTGTAAGGCCATTGTTTATGAAATCTAAACTCTCAATTTTTGTTTGGGGGCTTGTCATTTTAGTTGTAGCAGCACTTGTACGCATCAGGCTAACGAGTTATTATAAATTCTCTCATATATAATTGGTTGATGATTAGAAACTAAATATTTCTTATCTCAGAATTTTTGGATATGCATGTTTCAATTGCTCCACTGCATTGCATAAAAATGGGTTCTCAAAAGAGGTTAGGAATATATGTTGGATATGAATTTTCATCTATTATTAAATACTTAGAACCCTTAAAAGGAGATTTATTCACGATAAAGTTTGCCGATTATCATTTTAATGAAATAATTTCTTTAACATTAAAGGGAGAAAATAAACAACTAGAAAAGGAAATATTTTGAAATGTGTTATTATTATTATTATTATTATTATTATTATTATTTAGTTTTGATCCTCACACAAATCAATGTGAACTTGAAGTTCAAAATATAATTCATTTGCAAAATATAGCAAATCAGTCACCAAATGTTTTGCTAACCTAAAGAAAATAATTAAATCTTATATACTAGGTCCAAAAGCTCGTATTAGAATTGGTATCCTTGTAGGACAAGGCATCCCAAAAGCGTGGGAAATCAATAAGTTCAAAAGAAAAAATCCTCGAAAATGAAAAAGAGAAAATATTCGAGATGGTCTAAAAAAGGAAATATAAATTCCCAAAAAGACTCTTGACATAATTAATAAAATTTCAGAAGAAATTTAGATACTTGAAATCATTGAAACTAAAGAGATCTTGATAAATTATATCATGATGGGAAAAAATGAAATCAAAATTAAATAAATATTGATGATATTTTTGTATATAATATACCACTTAATATTTTGAAAGCAAAATAAGGGTCTTGAACTTATATTTATTAAAGAATGTAGCAATAGAAATTATTAGCCAATGTGGAAAGATGCAATTAAAGTGAAATTCAATCCACTTGTAAAACGTGAAGTTTTTAGACCTATAGTTTGAACACCAAATGGTGTAAAATTAGCGAGATATATATGGGTATTTATACGAAAATGAAATGAAAAAAATGAGATTATGAGATATAAAGCATAGCTTGTTGTACAAAGTTTTATCCAAAAACCTGATACTAATTATGAAGAGACATATTCTCTCATGGTGGATAAAATTATAATTTTATATTAATTAGCTTGGCAATACATGAAAATATTGAAATACTTTTAATGAATGTAGCTACAACCTATTTATATGGCTCATTTGATAATAATACTTGTATGAGAATCCCTAAAGGATTTAAATTGCTTGAAGCA